AACAAAATGGCCGCCAGTCGGCCATTTTGAATCTTAATCTGAAAAACAAAATTATTTGCATCAAGGTCCCATAATGTCTAATGTATACACCAAGTTTGAACAAAATCCATCTGTAAACAGCCGAAAAATGCTTGATTTTTATGATTTTTTAGCACAAAAATGGCCGTCATTCGGCCATCTTGAATCAGATTGTAAAACAAAATGATGTGCATATGTATGATATCATGTATGATGTATGTGTGAAGTTTGATTGTGATTGGTCCAGGCATTTCTAAGATACAGGTCCGGATGCACACACAGACGCACACACGGACACACGCACGCACGAAGGTCAAAACATAAGTCCCCGTTTTCGGACTGCGTCCGAACGGGGACTAATAATGTGTGCTATGCTGTTGACGTTTGTTTTCTTGCTATAAATGTGATACCATTCATAGTGAAAAATACCATGAAATACAGGTTTTCACTTAGCTGTTATACTCTACACACAAAAACTACTTACAGAGCTCTATATGATTATGGTCTTCAAGATTAAGTACACAACAAGGAATATGCATTGCAAACAGCTTGTTTATGGAGTGCTGTAGTCTTATGGGATTGGACAGTCTTTTGTAGGCGGTAGGATTCAATAGCTTGGGTAGTTTTGTCAAATGGGATACAGTCTTTTTGTTTCGGGGAATTGAGAATAGGGTTTCATACTTATCTCAACCCTAACGAGCGTAAAGTTCAAGGCGCGTAAAACGAGGGACGGTCGATCAAAGGAACAGGAAACAAATAAACGATATCAAGAAACTGCTTTTATTAACTCGTCACTGGAAAAGGTTACATGTACTCGCGCGCTAAAACAAGTATTCAGGCCTTTTATAGGCTCGGTAGGATCAGCCACCGTACCAAATTTTAGCGGGCTTGGTGCTGATTGGTTCATAGTGCTATAACCTATGATTGGCTAATAAGAGAATATCATTTGAAATGGCGCCTGCTATCATTATTTGTGCTAGTTCTCTTTGAGTTAAACATGTAATAAAGACGGTTGAATTGAATAAACACAATAACAATATAAGCAAGAACTGAAACACAATTGATTAATATTAAATCAATAATACAAACGAATATCACAGTAATAATTAGGGAAATAATAGTGGATTATTCTTCCTCTCATCGACACTTTTCCTTGAAGAGTTCTTTATTGTTGTGGGCTATGATATGAGTATTTTATAGGCTGGTATAGTATTTTGTGGGTTGTTATATTGTTCGAGTAGTTACTCATAATTCTACAATGGTCACATGTGTAAGGCAATATAATTGGTAACTTATAATGTTATCGTAGAGGGCAGTAGATTTCACAAATATTTAATAGAGGGCGCTGCATCACAAGTTAAAATATTTTCGCATCAAGAATACCGGTAATGATATTTTAGATTCAGAATTGTTTATCTTTACCAGTTCAATTGTGTACATCAGAGTGGTACTCTAATCAACTAGATTCTCACAGTGATTTATTCAGTAGATTCAGTAGATTGAGGGTGCATTTCTTCCTGTGATGGTAGTACAACCAATAATCTTATCATTTATTTCATTATTTCAGGCATGACAACAAAGGACGTCCCCATTGCACTAAAATGTCTTGATGTCATGATTAACAAGCGAAGAAAACAAGTCACTCTTCAGCGAGTTCTTGCATTTACCAAGAGATTGTGTGTTTTAGCGTTACACGTCTTTCCCAATGCTGCACTGGGTTTATTGGCCGCTGTTAGGTCATTTTTACAGGTAATGTTTAAGAGCATTTGGGGAATGAATTGAGGGCAAAAATTGTCTTCATACCACATATCAGTTTTTAATGTAATGTAAGAAGTACCTTCTTTCGAAGATGTTTTTGTCGTTTAATTTCACTGTTTAGAACTCTTGATTTGTCTAATACGTAATCCTGTTACTTCCAATCCCATATGTAGATGCATACTAAATGTGATGTTTTACTCGACAACGATTCAACTGGTAGTGGTGTGTATTTAGCCGAACTACAAGAACCTGAACACTGTAACGCACACAACACGACATTGTGGGAGCTATATCTTCTGAAAGTAAGATCTTATATTATTATTATTACCAAGAAATAAAACCAACAAAAATGGAAGTATTTGTTTTTGAAAACTGCTAGTACGCTTGCAAAGTTGAATTATGGAATATATGTCAAGTTAAATTTGCTGTTTACATGAACAAGACACCTGTTTACCGATAATTGGTGATTGCAGGAGTGTTTATATGTTTATTCACAGTAATCTTTTTTGTTTTCTTTCCAGAGACATTATCATCCTTATGTTCAGAAATACAGTAGCCATCTTTGTAAAGGAGCCCCGATACAGGGAATCGGATCTCTCAGCCCGGAGCTTGTCAGAAAGTAAGTTGAAGACTGATTGGTAATTTGGGATATAACATTTTCACATTTTGTGTTGATCCTTAAAACACCCTTGAATAATGTTGATTTGCTGATTTTTGGCTGGTGTCTCAAATGTTAAAGCGGGAGTGTTGTCACCTGCGAATGCGTCAGTTTTCCAAAGCGTATCATTGGTTACAATCAAATGTCTACCCATGAGCCTTATTGTGTTTTTAGCATGTGTTGTTATCATCGCTTGGGACTCAATTCCTGCGCGTGCACAGGTGACCACCCTCCTGCTTTAATTAACATTGAATTTAAAAAATGTT